CCTGCCACGAAATCTGCGCGTTAGGGTCAACCAAATGCTGCCGCTGCCACGAAATCTGCACTTCAGGGTTCACAACGTGCTGCCCCTGCCACGAAGACCCCTCTAACCTTGAGACCCCTGACCCTGAGCGTGACTCGTTTTGCCAAAGTGCTGCACTTGCCACGAAATCTGCACTTCCGAGCTCACAAAGTGTGGTCCCTGCCACGAAATCTGCATTTCAGAGTTCAGAAAATGCTGCACCTGCCACGAAATCTGGGCATAGGTATCACAAAAAAAAATAGAAAGAGCATCAAAAAAATAAAATCAGGATCAAAAAATCAAAGCGAATCAAAAAATAAATATTCCTTGATAGGCCTCTTCTGCTGCTCTCTTGGCCTTGTGGTCTGCGGGTCCTCTGGTAATGTGGTCCCTTGGTCCTTTGGTCCCTTGGTCCTCTGGTCCACTGGTCCTTTGGTCCCCTGGTCCCTTGGTCCTTCAGTCCACTGGTCCCCTAGTCCTCCGGTCTCCTGGTCCTCTGGTCCTGTGGTCCGCTGGTCCCCTGGTATCCTAGTCCTTCTGTCTCCAGGTCCGCTGGTCTTTTGCTCTCCTACGGCGCTCGTCTGTCGATCTCCTGGTCCCCTGCTTGCGCAAATAGAGGCTTGATTGCTTTCTACTAGAGGCAGCTCCCTGGGAAGAAAGTAGGTACCCAACGATAAGGTTGCCGTCCAGTCATTGAGTAGCCCTACTCGAAAAATGGTTCACCAGTAGAAATAGCTCCCTACTAGGAGGGGCAGTGGGCTAGATTTTTTTTTTTGATTCCCTTTTTATTTTTTTTATTGATCCCCGTTGAATATTTTTCTATTTTTTATTATTTTTTTTGATCCCTTACCCCGAAATCTGCACGTTAGGGTCAACCAAGTGCTGCGCCTGCCACGAAATCTGCACTTCAGGGTTCACAACGTGCTGCCCCTGCCACGAAATCCCCTCTAACCTTGAGACCCCTGACCCTGAGCGTGATTCGTGATTCGTGATTCGCGATCCTGTCTTGGAGCTTCTCCGGATCACGTCTCGATCATGTGCACCTTCCGCCCCCCGTTTTCCACATTATTTGAGCAAACTGGGTGGAAGCAACTGCCCACAGAGGCGTTATGCTGGGGTGCTGCGGACAGTCTGCGGCAGCGGCCAGCACACAAGCGCCAACAGTGCCTTGGCATCGTCAAGGAGTCCTTGCCAACGGTTGAACCTACGGTGTTTGCCTTTTCAGACTCAAATATTTTTAAGCGCATAAAAGTAACTGCTTGGCATCTCAGTTCATCGCGAAGATCTTAAGTATCATATGAGGAGAGTCAATCCTGCCTCTCATGCCTCACACAATGCTGCACAGCGCCCAGGCAGAAGCTGCTTGCGACAAAGCGCCGAAGTGTGCCGAGTTGGGTTTGCAAGGTCAGTGCTGCCCGGACCTCAGTCTTCAGAGCAAGAGCAACATGTTGATTTTTGTTGATACATTTAATTACATGTTGTGGTTGCAACTTGCATCTCAAATGGTCAACATGGGAGAACTCCGGAAAGACACCTGGCGCATCCTGGCACATCCGAAAAGGACACCGACATCTGAGGTCCCAACCCCTCGGGTGTCCGCCTCGGCTGCTGCCCCTGATGCTCAGCAAAGACTGCAGCGTCATGAGGAAGGTATAGAAGGTCATCGTCCAGAGACCGAACGACGGAGCGTTGGAGGTAAAAAGCAAGGTTTTTGGGTTCCGGATTCTTTTTGGATGACCTTGATGGTATAGTGATGTTGATGGTAGCAACTATGCATTAGTCGATGCGATGATGAGTTTGTTGAGCATTGCTTGCGTGATTCAAAGAGTTTGGTAATGAACAATTATGGGCCAGGCCAGTCTATATAACACGAGAAGAATTATGTGCTGCCCACAACTCTTATGACGTTCAGGGTCTTTCAAGGTATGTCTCGCATCGGAGAAATCACGAGACTAGCAGATACACGCGATGAAACGAAGGTGAGGAAACACACAACGTGGCTGTCAAGCCCACGGCAGACAAGCCCGAGACAGCTCTGTCGTTGCGGACACACACACACACAAGTGTTGTGATTGATTTATGAGTGAAGTGTTTTGTGCTAAGCTTGGCATGCTTTTGCTCAGTGTAGCCGTTTTAACCGTCAAATGCGCTTTCACACCTTTGGTATTTTTTTGGAGGCCTGAAAACGCATTGCACATTGTCAAACTTGAGGCTCTTCTGCTCCTTTGAAACTAATCTCTTGGAATGTGCAAGGCATGGTGAACATCTTCCGGTTTCTCTTTTGCACGTCTGCCGCCGTGGCCTTTGCCTTGCCAGAGACGGACATTGTCAATGCCTTGTTGGAGGATGGTCTTTGCGAGGGAGACTGCAGTGTGAAGCTTCTCCAGCGACTTAGATGAATGAAAGATGAATCATATCAAGACGAATGAGAAGCATTAGAAGCATTGAGGCTTTTTGAGAGAGGGTAAAACTATCAGGCTACAGATTAAGAATTCGATCTTGTTCCATTTTTTGTTGCATCAGCCCAGCTGTGCATAGGGCCAGAGGCCCTTTTCTTAGTCCTCTACGGCTGCACACCTGCAAATCATCGGATTGTGTTGAGTTTGGCGACAACCTCACAATCCCGTCAGATCAAGCAAGTATATGACTCGGGTTTTGGTGCTCTACTGGCCCCGCGTAGAAGCACCAAGAATACCAAGGATCAAAGGTACAGTGGAGGAAGAAGAGGTTTGCCTTGAATGGAAGCAGTGCCTTGGACGTTCGAGCTTGCGTTTGCTCCTGTCAACGATGTTGTGGAAGCTTAGTGTCATGGTTTGTGACACTGAATCTCAACACCAACCGATCATGGCCGTATTGTGACACATGCTGGCATTTTGCCAATGAAGTGCTGGTGCACTTCTAGGTGTCCGGACAACTCCGAGTACTACCTGGGTAAGAAGTGCAACGATCAACAGCTTGTTTGCACTCGCTGCTCGACTTCAGTAGTTAAAACCTGGTTTTCCATAATTTTGCCTTTTGGCCAGATCAGTTAGTTCAGCTGAAATTCGGACATTGGACAAACTCATGTATCAGTACTGCCAGGCTATGGTAAGCCGCAAAAGCGCCAATGCCTGAAATGGGTGAACTGCAAAAACAGCTGCTACTGCGCCCAGTGGGCCAAGCTCTTGGAAGAATCGGCCGAGACGGCAGATGTCGAGCGGTTAGGAGTTGCCGTGCCAGAGGTGACAGCCGATGAGATTGTGGAAGTGGAAACGCAAACAGACAAAGCCGCCAGCGCCGTCGGCTGACGAATAGGCGATTTTTATGCCGATCTAATTGTGGAATTCAGGTAATTTTGGGCTGCTGGAACATCCAAGCTTCCAAGTGCCATGCTCGATTAAGACTGCCACCGCTACTCCGTCGTGAACCATTTTTCCTCCGAGCTTCCACTCTTTTGCGGCGAGGACGTGGTGGTAGTACCGACGCCGACCCCAAAAAGACTCGCTGCGATGTTCCGAGACGTCCGATGCTTCGTTCAGGTTCGTTCAGCAGCGGCGTTTTTCATAAAACACATAGTATCAAAATATCAAGACCTGGTTATCAAACACCTTGGAGCCATCCTGTGGAGCGCCAGGCCACCATTACAACGGTGGGCTATGGCGAATCTTGGCCGCATTGAGTTCTCGAAGCTGCTTGTGGGCAAGCTTCGGCCATCGAACGCCGATGTGAGCTCCAAGGATGACATACCAGTGACCATCCCTGGTCAGGCCCAGCACTGTCTCGTTGGGTTCTTTTCTTTTAGAGAAACCAACGAGACGAGTTTGATGATAGGAAAGTCGTTCAAAGAAACGGGCCTTGCCCAGATGATTGGAGCCGTTGCAATCCTCTATGGCACGATTCTGCTCGGGCCACACCGGCACGTTGGACCCGATCCCCCTCAGATCCGGAGGGTCGAAGGAGGGCGGAACACCGCTGTTGCCAGCACCACATGGTGTTTTCCCAGGTTGCCGATTGGAATCATTGGCTCTCAGTACGTTTCTCAGATCTCTTCGTTGTGTGCAGGACCCCATCGGAATCTCAACGCTTGGAATCGCTTGCTTCTTAACGGAACGAGGTTCTCTGGGGAGTTTGCCCGCATGATGGCCATGGGCCGGAATCGTCAGGGCCCTTGGCGGTTGGACCTACTGTTGATGGAAGACAGCCTGCAGCACCTAGAGCTCCCCAAAAGTACAATATATATATATATATCATTGGATCAATCATATTGTATCATATATAGTTACAATGTACATGTATCAGGATTTCTAGCATTCGGCATTTGTGTTTTCCATGAGACATGTTTGTTTTCTTTCCGTTGTGGAGTAGCGAGTCCTGTTGAGGAGAGCGGAAGGACATTGACCTGCGAGGAGGTCAAGGAGGTGGCAGCTTTAGAATCCAAGGGCGAGTTGGAAGTCTTACTTGTACCAAACTTGCCAAAGAATTGTCCTCTTATTGTTCAAGCTTTAGCATCTAAAGCTAGGATGAAACTGAGTCTGCGCACGTTTTTGTTACGCCAAGGTGACCAAGTGCTAGCCTAAGGCGACTGACCGTGTGACACAAGACCCTATGACTTGGGTACGGCGTCGTTGGACATGAAACTTTTCAAATGATCACAATGTACGTGTGCTTTCTGCCGACAAACACACACACACACACACAGGTGCACACCCTATTACTATTCTGTATCACAAAAATGCGCACGATCACAGATGCACAGGTGCACACGAAAAAGCGGAGTAACAACAGATCAGATTTGTGTATGTGTGTGTGCCACACATTTGTTGACGCTGACCAAGGCAAGTCCTGGACGGAAAAAGCGCATGACGCGTGTCTCGCCATGGGCTCAGGGGAGATCTTGAATCAAAAAATGGGTGAGATGAGGACCAGAGCACCACCGAGAACCGGTTCATTTAACGTCCTGAAGCGGGGTAATTGCACCGAAGCTGCAGACAAACTTCATTCATATGAAACAATCACTTAAGATCGTTTTGCTGCATCTTTGACTATGTAGTATCAAAGTATTCTTGCCCAAGATTGTGCAAAGTGCTGTAGTTCATCGGTCCTGTCAAAAGACTGTGGTGCCCATTTGACAATTGTGGTGATCCTTCGTAGAGGGCTTTGGCTGTCTGACCAAGTTGTAGATTGTTTACACCGTGGCATAGCCGTGGCTCAAGCAGAGCTCCAGATTTTGCCCCAGCAAACGCCATGCTAGCTCGGGCGGCTTGGAGGCGAGCGAAGATGGTGATTTGGACGAGTTTGAACCATTTGGACATGTTTCCAGGTGTTCATCTTTGGACATGTCAAGTATGTCAAGCAACAGATTTTGAGGAGATGGTGGAAACACGTGGAAACTCCGTTGTTCAAGCTAGACAGTGGACCGCATCCCCACAAACATGACCACGGCCCAGCATGTCCAAATGGTACAAGTAAAAACATGTTCATACAGACACCCCCGCAAGTCTCGCAGGCGCGCTGGCGCCGCTCTCGGCGGCCCAGCCTTGCGCGGCTTCGCTGCGTCGCCGCTGGAGTCTACGGTGGGGAAGCGCCGGTGGCGGTAGCAGCGATAGCATTGATGCCCATGCATGATGTTGCATGGTATTGCACGGGTGTCGTCGGTGTAATTAAGTGTAGAAATGATGCTTAAGTCTTGCGAGAGGCAAAGCTGTATGAAGAGATCGTGGACAAGTCCCTGAAGGAGCAGAAAAAACACAACAGCAAGGTTCAGACTGGGACGTGCAGCGAGGAAATGGGTCATGACATGTGTTTCTGATCGTTTCATATGGGCAGTGCCTGGTGTGGGTCGAGACGTAACGTATTGACTCTGCCTTGCAGGAGTTCCAGGCCAATGAAAAGACTGTGCAGCACTCAGCCGGGTCCTGTCTGCTTGGGGATCAGCTGAAGCGGAATGTTGAAGGTATTACGAGAACTAGAGTAGGTTTGAATGGTTTTCTAAAGCCTTACGGTAGTGGCGTAAATTGTCAGCTTTTCAGCCACAAAGAAAGAATGGAGTCGGAAGATTCGCAGAGAATTGTCGGCATGTTCTCTTAGCTTCTTATCTTGAGGTATCTGCAGATTTGGACGCAGAGATTTCTAGTAGCAAGGCACGAGGGCCAGAAGTGTGGAAGCTTCATGGCCAGTATGGCATTGACCAATCTACGAGGGCAAAGAACAACTCACACGCAACTTCTGGTCAGCTTACATGTAGATTGTAGATTTGTAAAGAGCTTCCGTTTCATCGCACGACAAAGCAGTGGGCAACTGTCAGGTTTTCAGTTTTCAGTGTTTAAGCTGGCTCTATGTTTCGAACGTGTTGGAACTATCCGATACACCTTCAGCCGTGCAGGTGGTGCTCTTCATGGAAGGCACGCCTGATGCACCAAAGTCTGAGCCGAGCCTGAACGCCTCCAAGCTGCAAGCAGACATCAAAATGGAGGATACAGTATTTTTAATGTATTCTACAATCCTTTTTACAGCAAAAGATGCAAGCAGGCTTGTAGTACTATATATATATATAACACCACTGGTTTTGATGTGGCGGCTCTAGTCTTTCTTGTTTCTTTTTTCTTGGCTTAGGCGGTGAAGATGCTCACCGAAGCGCAGGTGGTTCCCATGACTTCTGTGAACGCTCCTCGGAGAATTGTGCGAAGAAGACCACACTTGTATCCTCTCAACAAACTGTCTTGGGACAACGAATGGGACAACTTGTGCGCAGACCGGAAGGCGCTTTCTGAAATTTTTGAAAGACAAAAACGACCGGTGATTGGACGTTTTCATAAACAATTCCTTCAGGTTTTGGCCCACCCGGCCATCCTTGGCTATACCGTGTCTAAGACGCAGAAGCGACGGACGCCACATTTGTACGTCAACGGCAGCGGCTTGGCGAAAAGGACTTGAGGAACGTGGTTTGGTGATGTTTGATGGTTGTTCCGTGGGTGTGGATCGAAAGCTGGAATGTCCAAACCAGGTTCACCTACCTCAGAGTTTCCGAGAGGTCAACGTCATCCAGCGTCCTGAGTTTTGACCGATGGCCCATAGTAGCAGTGGTTGTCAGGTGCACCACTTGCTTAGTTTTGTTACTTGCTTGGTGCTGAGGAGGGTGCAGATGACAGTGATCGAGAGTATGTCAGTCAAGACAGCACGAACTGAGGCTTCTATGCCGACTATGATGGGCTCATGTCCCAACACACCTCAGGTGGGCCCATCTCAATGCTGGTAGTTGACACCTGGGTCTCCTTGAATTGGTTCTTTCATTTCTTTCCCTAAACGGACTTGGTTTGAAGGCCAACTGAAGAAGCTGGGAACAGAGGCAACAAAGAGCACTGGCACCATTGGGGGCGAGCTGCCTATTGCCACCTACTGAGGTGCGTGGACCTTAGCATATATAGACATATATTACATATTGCATTCTACATAATATATAATGATAATATATTGACAGCTTATTGTGAGTTAATTGCTTCTTGTGCATTGCAGAAGTCTTTGCATCATACAACAACAAAACAGTGCAGTAATAAGCTTTGGGGCTGGAAGAGTTGCTGAGACCATTCATTTTTGTGGATCCAGTCTAGCACTGATTTGCCACATGGCACTTCCTCACAGGCGCACTGTTGTGCTCTATGACTGGAAGTAGTAGATGAGTGCGCATTGAACATGTCCCGACTGTGAAAACGTGATGCTGATGATGAAACCCTTGAAACAGAATGTTTCTGTAGCTGAATCAACTCTGATCACTGTCAACGCCTTCTGGTTGCAGCATCGCTGATGCAGAGTATGTTTGATAGATTTGAACTTGTAAGGAAGAGAGTTGGAGAATTACCTTGCTCATGAGAAAAGAGACTGCTGCCCTTTTTTGTGCGTGGACAAGCGATCTTGCATGACCTGTGCAAGACCTCACGTAATTTTAGGGATGCCTCCTGCCACGTGGGAATAGGCTGCCGAAGTCTTGTTTGAAGAGCCAACACATTTGGCATTCAAGTCTCTTAAAAGTGCCTAAAGGGGCTTCAAGATCTTCTGGTCATGGCTGACGAGAAGAACCACCCCAAAACTCTGAAGCTGAGAGCGACATGTGCCTCAGCCTTGCTACTGTGAGGTTGCATGTGGTGAGCACTATCAAGAAAGTCATACAGCGCGACTCCAAAAAGACACACGAGGCGATTCCAGCTCTGTGAAAGCCTTGGCCTTGCGACCTGGAAATAGAAGTAACATCCCTAGTGGCTTCTTGTTGCTCCTAGTAAGAATGCTCCTAGTAGCGATGCCAGGAGCCCCTAGTAGCGTCCTAGTAAGGCCAGGAGCCCCTAGTAGCTTCTTGTTCCTAGTAACATGAAGGAAGCAAGAGATTGAATACATTTGAGTACACCGACAAGATGGCTTATCTCTGAAGCATGCTTGAGCCACTTGAGCTTCTGCCTCCTTTTGACGCGAGGCAGAGCAAATGCAGGCAGAAAATGTCAGAAAACTTCAGCAGCACCTGCCTCGAAGCTTTGGACGCTAGCATCGAAGCAAAACAACATGGAGAGGCGAAAGAGACATTGTTGGTCCTTGAGGCTTCCTTTGACTCAAAAGCAGAAAGAACAGCCGGATCCCTAGCTCTTACTCAGCTCAATGAAGCTGTGTAACCTTGAGTCAAAAGCAACTTGTTTTGGGGCAGGATCCAGTCCATTTGCTTTTCTCCTGGAGACAAAAAACATGAACAAGTGTCAGACGTGCGACCACAGGGCCAATGTGGCTTCTTCTGCCAGGCTGATTGGCTCCAAATACGCCTTCGAAGACTTGCTGAAGATGCATGGGGAAAGCATCGGGATCACGGTGGGCTTCTGCAGCGTCTCTGTTTGCGAGCGACCAACTTGCGAACCCCCCTCAGACTGAGATAGTCGGCGAACTTGGACCACCGGGTTCATCCGAGATGCGCAGGGGCCAGAAGTATTTTTAAAGGTTTCGCCGCACACATAGGGTGATCTCTTCGGCAGCGAAGTGTTGACATCGTGAGCATCCTCGTCATGTGAGGATTCTCGTGTCATTCAATTTGGACAAGGTTATCGGTCCTAGAGTCCTACTCATCATCGAATGAATATGTGCTTAAGCGAGTGGTACGTGGATGCAGTGGGGGTCTTCAATTCCACGTAATCGATTCGAAGAATGACATCCGCTTGAAACATGACCGTGTCACCACTGCTCCACTGGAATCTCAGTTTCCCTCATTAAGCATGGACATGTCAGCCCTTACTAAAGGGGCCCCTTCTCTTCTTTCCTTCTCACTCTTTTATAGTCTTTTATGTAATCTTTCCATTTTTGTTTTATTTATCGATGTCCTTTGTATCGTCCGGAGCTAGTTCTAGGAAAGAGTTCAGTCATGCGCCAGGTAGACACTCAACAGTACTGGATGGAGGCACAGATGGGCAAGAGTGGACGTCATGTCTTGATATGTTTTGATGATGTGACGTCCAGCTCATTTTCACAAATTTACCTCAATGTTGAAGGAGATGGGGACTCCCATGGCAAGCAGGATTTGGCTCATCGTTTTGTCCAAATCTTACTACATTACTATATAATCTATAATCTATATGACATGGTAACCCACGGGTTTGAAGAGGAGGGCTACCCCCTTTGCCGAACCAGCTTTCCGGCCGCTGGTTTGTTCTCATTTGCCCGCATCATTCGTTTAGGCCAAGGGCCCATGAAATGCAATGCTACTATATGCTACTAATACTTCGAGCATTCAATTTGCAAGGGGGTGGCCATTCGATTTGTTTGTTCAGCCCACAAGAGGAACACCTCAGATGAACGCTGTTTTCTTTGCCAACAAATCAACGACTTAACCTTCAGCAAAGTATACCGAGAAAAGACCGGACCTGAGTTCCTTGTCAGCCTTGCTGACACCAAGTCGTTTCCAAAGCCCGACAATCAGTCAAGTTGGCGCTTGATTTCTATTCAGAATGCCTTTGCAAACGGCTTTTCCAGGCTGTTTGGGCTTGCCAATTTCAAGCAGGTCCTCCACTGGACAGAGTTTCAGCGTGTTTGGGGCCCAGAGTGTCCCGCAAAGTTGAGATATGTTGCTTTACTTTGTGATTTGGAGGAGGAGCAGTTGGAGAATATTCGCTGAGCCTCAGGTATTCTGACTTTCCTTGCTGATGCCGAAAAGCGAAGGCAGGCGAAATGAGTCAAAGCACTGGCCCCACAGCATCGCTCCATCGACCCTTTAGAGGCTACTAACCAGTAAGGTGTATGCCAGAGTCCCAGACCCTCAAAATCCTCCGATTTGTGCGGCGCCATTAATCAAGAACTGGTCCTTACTGAAATGGTGCGCACAGTAGGCACAATTTGCTTCATATGCCAGGAGCCCCTAGTAGCTGGTTTCGATGTTTAAGGTTGCATCTGGAACCTGAAGAGAAACACTAGTCACTAGCACTGATGGGTTTGTGTTCAAAGCAGGGGCCCTGGAAATGTACAGCCCTTGCGCCTTGCATGGCCTGGAGCTTGGCGAAGAGGGGGACAGAACTGAGTCTTTTGTTGCCACTCGTTGTTTGAACAATGACAAAACAAGGATGGCAAGCGGTTGCAGGATAGTTTAGACTAGACAAACTGTTTTGTTCCGTTGTTTCCGCAATCATCCTTCAATAACGTTACGGTCCCCTTAAGGTGAAACCTCTGTTCCTCTTGCCTCGGATGATGCGGTCAGAAACGGTCCCTGAGCATTGCCAAGGTTCGACCTGTGCATTGCGTGCTGTTCCGTGTCCGAGAAACTCTCCAGACCTACCTTGAGACACCAGGCTGTTGCTGACTATGACGCCCGCATGGTTGGTGAATCAATTGATTGAAGAACATCTTTTTGCTGCGGGAGGCAGACCAGGAATTCTGAAACAGCAAGCAGAAACACGATGAAACATGTTGGCATCATGGCATCACATGCCTGCTCACCTCATTGACTCTCTCCCCTCATGAGAGTCTGGAGAGGAATGTTCGTTTCAATGCAGGCCTACACTGGGAGCTCTGAGGAGAGAATCGATCACGGTCATCTTACGGATTGATACATATCCCGGACTTTCCATGTATCGAACATGCCAACATTGATCTCTGAAACCACCCCAATGTAGGCAAATTTGATCAACTATGACATACATGCAGTGTTTGGGATATGATAAGTTATGATATGGCCACTGCGAACGAGCGAGGTCAGGGGTAGGTCTACGGGGTGTGGATGCTCGCGCCATGTCTCTGTGCCCTATGTCGTTTTTTGGGAAAACCATTCATTTTGAACAATTCTCAATGTCACTGACATGTCGGAAACCTGACCTCAACAGCTTCGTAGCCGGAGTCGCGCAACGTGTTGATGGATGCTCAGCTGTGGTGGATCAGTTGTTCCTGCCAGGAAGACGAGGGCGCAAGGGAAAACTTCCAATCTGAGATGTCTCTCCACTCAGGCGGAGGCGACCCTTCTTTAACCAGTGGGTGAGGTCTTTCCAGGATGGATTTGGAACGCCGCTGATGAGGGAGAGGAATCTTGAGTAGTAGAAACGCTACCGTTAACTTAACATATAGGTACTCCTACGAAGCCTCAGCAAGGTCTATCCAACAATTTCTAGTCTTTAACATGCTTGATTCATCTTGATTTCCTTTATCTTATCAGCACCACAACATCTCAAGATGGGATGAGAGATGAGAGTCTGAGTTGTTCCCTACTCTCAGATTTCAGTCATCGACGCCCCACGTCCATCAGGTGACGAAGGTCGGAGTCCCGTCGAGGGCGAATCCGACGAGGACCATGCTGCCGCCGTGTGACGTTCTTTGTTTTTTTTTTCCTTTTCTTTTCTTTCTACAAAACCATTTTTTGTTTCTTTTTGTTCATTTCTTCTTGCGTCCTTGTTTGTAATTAACGTCATTATATATTTCAACCCAAGCACATCAATGACCAACACGGAGAGCGGAGCGCAGCGGAGAGTGTTGGACTCGAGGACTCGCAAGTCAGAGTTGGACTTCGCACCAGGGGATCTCCTGAGAGTACCTCCAAAGAGTCTGTGGCAACTCCACCAGATACTCCGCGACGCAAAGTTCTTACATCGCTCTGAATTTGCCCAGTCGGACATGAAAGGATGTTTTGGCAAAGTAATATAGGGCAGTAGGGATTAGTAGGGCTGCTCACTGAGAAGCGCTGAAACGGCCAGACTGCACGAAACGCTGCGCACTATCTTCCGTGCTGCGCGTTTTTTTGTGGACCCCTTCAGGGGGGCACTCAAATATTTTTTTGGAGACATGTTGCCAAAGGCAATGTCTCCTTTACTCCTAAGCACTAGCATCCCTCAATGGGGCTTGGGATGCCAATTTGCTGCTCGGTTGGTCAAAGGTATTTAAAGCCAGAGCAGCAGGATTCAGCCTGAATTGCCCAAAAGACAGGGGATCGTTCTCAGGTCGTCGAGGTTGTCGATGGTTTTCAGCAGATGCACCACCACTTTTAGAGCTGGTATTCCTTTGCTGACGTCACCCTGTTTTCAATTCTTGTAGTATTTGGGGAAGGGATTCCGAGCATTTGACATCAGGGAGACAGAGGTCCTGTATGGAAAAGTTAATATTCTAGCAGCATTTCTATATGGTTGGACAGCTGGAAAGCATGGATGGATTTAGTTTGATTTATATAGTGCTTTCACTGTTCCCAAGAAGCCTACTTCTCCATTCAAGAAGCCCTTTTAGGAGGGACCAGAGACCACAATGCACGATTTGTCCTCTACCAGAATGCACACCAAAGATCTGGTGGCGTAGAAAGACAGTCCTGGGATCCAAGGTGGACACGGCTGGAGATGGGATCGAGTTCTCTTTTGTCTCTTTTGATAGCTCCTTGGTCCGATCCTTTCAGCTTAGTCCAAGCGGTTAGTCACTTAGTCCAGTTCACGTTCCACAAGTTTGGCAGAGACCTTTGAAACATCCTCTCCCAAGCATCACTGAAATGCCAGTCACTGGAGCCGAGCCAGCAACAGATACACACATTCCGGGAAACACTTTGCCAGCGATGTCAATCAAATTCCGAGAAGCGCCTTGTGGAGAGCCAGACGCTCAGCCTGCAAGTCTTTGAGGGTCTCAAGCTGAAGTCCAAAAGGGGTCTCAGTCGATGTGGATTTCGCTTGGCAGGCTGGTACTTAAAGGAGGAGGTCTACAGATCTTGCGGAAGCAGCACCGGCGCTGGTGCCCAGGATGGAACGGTGTCACATGGGCTTTACACCGTGGAGGTCCATGGACCACGGAGTGCTGGGATGTTTCGTCTTTACATTCTAAAAAAGCATTCGTTCTGATTTTGATGTTCTTTCCTTCACGACCCATTTGTGTTTTGGTCATTGGTGTTTCTTGGATGTTTGAGGCCTGGTGTCCCTCACAAGGATGAGCCAAAGGCGAGAGGGGGTCTGTGTGATTCTGTTTGCCCGAAGGTGACGACCAAAAGGGGGTCTTCCGAACGGACCGACATACATCGGACGGACTCGGACGGACGCCGAGAAATTGGATTTGGAATTGACCCGCAGAAAAACAGCATGTCTTTGCAAAGTTTGCCAAGTTTTTTTTATTTTATTTTTTCTCTGGCTAAGAAAGGCCAATTCGAAGCTTCCGATTCTGATGGATGCTGCCAGATGGCCTTCTCTGCAGAGCCCCTGCGGAGCTTGGCGGGCCGTGGGTGCTTGGTCCAAGTGGTTGGAGTTGGATGTCGTGGGTCAAAAACCTGGGAGGCCCTGGTTGACCAGAGAAAATGAACGAACGGATAGACTACGTACTAAGGAGGTCAACCTACCAGGGTGAAAACGGGCTCCAGGTTGTGAAACACAGGGCTGGTTGTTTTTTTTTCGACACCATCTCACTGGCTTTGTCAACTGGCCATGACAAGGTGCTGGTTCGAGCTCCGAGTGGATGCCATGGCAGGTGGTGAGCTGTCCGTGACCTAGGGAGACCGGGGTGTAGGGGCCGTAGGGGCCGTAGGGGTCATGTCTTGTGTCTTTCTTTTTAAGTTGCAGTTGCAAGTAGCTGGGAAAGCATTGCAAGCACCGAAATCCACCAAAAGTTATGGCAGACAAGATGAATGTTAGAGTTCAAGACAGACACCTTCAGATTGATGAACATTGATGAAGACCTTCCTAGGTGCCCAATGGGTCTTGGCTTCACTGCCACTGACCCTGAGATGCTCCGGGGTACAGAAGAGGAACCTGCAAGACTCCCAGTTGAAGAGGCTCAAGGGCCAAGGCTCAAAGTGTTCCACCCTGGGTGTGTGAGTCACAGTCAGAAGCCAAAGAAGTGGAAGAAGCAGCTAGGCAGACCCTCAGCACTGCTGAGTGGCCCTTGCGTACATCGAAACGATGTCCGGTATATAGATCCAAAGGGCATTCATTTTTTTTCGGTGAAAGTAGGCAGGCAGTATGCCGTTCGCTCGGCACTTGCTGTTGCATTGGTGTCAATCACCCAGGCCAAGCTTCCCGGAAGCGCGGCTTTCCTTCCCAAGTCCTACGTCTTGGCCTGAGATTCGTGGGGGATTGGACAAACTGCCTCTAAGATATGATAAAATAATGAACACCAACTGCCTTTTTCCTTTGGATATTTTGGATCATGTGTGCTTCTTTTGCACCCCAAGGGCTCCAAACCCATGACATGTATCTGTTGTAGACGGCAGAGTCCGAGTCCAAAGGACTCAATCTGAATTTGCCTCTGAGGTGGGCGGCTACCTAAGCTCTGTGTACTGGGACGGAGAAAAGGTGGAGGCCACGGATCGCCACAGGATCCTGCGAGCGCAGGCGAGCGACTCGGAGAGTGCGTGCGCCACGGATCGTCAGGTGGACAACATCTTCGAGAAGCTGAAGCCCGCCAAAACCTTCACAGTGGGAGCAATCCTGTCATGGCTTTTAGAAGATGTCATGCTGGCAGAGGGACAATCGGCTTTGCTACCACTGACAATGATATGCATGTGTAACACATGATTGATACATATGTCACCCTGGCAGGTTCTGGCAACCGTGCTGGGTGGGCTGGACGCTCGTTTGCAAACATCGCAAGCATATGCGGAAACCGTGTCGGCTGATGCAGATGCTACCAAATGACGAGTTGTGTGCTGATTGATGGATCCACCCCCCATAGCTTTCAACACGTCTTGAGGTGTTTCACCAGGTTCTGCCAGTTATATAAAAAGCTATAGAAAGACTGCAAGTTGCAAATCTTTCCAGGAGTTTTTCATCAATCGACGGCTTGTTCTCTCCTATGCGCCAGAGGAGCCCGCCAGATGCAGATATGATGAAATCGCCCGGGTTCTGTCCATCTCATTCCATCTCCATTTGGCCACACAGTCACAAACCAGCCGAGAGCGCTTCAAGGCCAAAGAACCCTCATGCTCCTAGTAGCGATGCCTTTTGTTACTAGTAGCTTCTTGTTCCAAGTAGTAAGGCCAGGAGCCCCTAGTAGCGTTCTTGCTCCTAGTAGCGATGCCAGGAGCCCCTAGTAGCGAACCTTGTTTTCAACATGAAACGGATGGCAGGACCTCATGAAACGCATCGACCTGGAGCAACCGCTTTGGGCCGTTTTGGATTGTGCCGGTGGCCTCAAGAAGGTGCGATGACTGACAGAGACCCCCGCACGGTGGCCGAACACGGCGAAGCCAACGAAAACCGCAACCTGACCTCCCACGACTGCCCTTGGGGCGAGGGAACAAGCTATATAACCTCCATAAACCTATATTACTATATTAACTCATAACTAGCAGCTGAATCATTTTTGAATCGCCAGTTCACGCAGGGCAATGTTTTTTGGCTTCGGTGGCTTGTGGCTTTTGGCTTGTTTAGCGTTTGTGGCTTTGGCTTGTGTGACTTTGGGCTTATGATGGTTTCTGTTGGCTTTTGACTTCGGTGGCTTCTGTGGCTTTTGGCTTTTGGTGGCTCGTGTGGCTTTGTGTTGGTTTGGTTTTTGATGGTTGCTTTTGGTCGTTTCCGTGGATTTTGTTGGATTTTGATGGCTAGGTTTTGATAGCTTCTTCGGTTGACTTTTGTAGCTTCTTGGTGAATTTGAAGTTTGGCGGCCTTTGGCTTTTGGTGATGTTTGTGGCTTTGGGCTGACTTTTGTTTGCGGGTTGGTTCTTGATGGCTTGCTTTTGGTTCTTGGATTTTGATGGCTAGGCCAGGCTTTGATAACATTGTTTTGTGTTGGTAGTTCGTAGCTTTTTGGGTTTGCTCTTGGGGGAGGCGCTGTGTCCTCCCCACAACCCCCTCCAGCTTTTTCAAGCCAAGCCCAGTCAACCAAAGCAAAAAAGACACTCAATCACGGTTGAAATAAAGCCAAACCCACGCAGTTTAGAGGAGGACTGCACCCTCCTCAGAGGCACCAAGGACTACACTGCTGGAAACCTTCCCCTAAATCTCGTAGGGAGCAACCTAGCAAAACCACATTTGAGAACTAACATTGCAGCTCCAGTTCACCCTTTTTCAGCACATCCAGCACATGTCACGGGCGGAAGGGAAGGTGCTGCAAGAATGTGTATATGAGCAAAAGCTTTGAAGATAAGATTCGCAGTTGTTGATGCCCTTTGAGACTCCTGCGTTTTTGTGGCAGTTGGTACATATTGAAACTTCGCGTGGCCATCAAATCTAAATCTAAAAGAAAGCATCGAGCGATCGAACGACAAGCTGACGACGTTCGTGCATGTCTGCAGAGCTCATTAGACCTTTACGGAAGAGTGGAGTCACGACTTGGTCAAAAGTTCAAACCATCGCAGGTACGTCACGGTGATCAGCCGTGATATCCTAGTCAACTGCATGGAGCTTCGTTGGCGACAGCCATGCAGCGACTCTGTCGCCCCCTGCTGAAAAAGGAAACAATCCAAAAAGAACCTTGTGACTCCAAAGGTTGAACACACACACACACACACACGTTGGTCTTGTGTGCAGGGCTGCCTCATTCCTGACTCAGTGCCACCTTCCGAAGAAGAAGCCAATGCGCCCGATGAGGAGCATAGACAAATCAGTCAGACTAGTGACCTTGGGTGGCTTGGGGAGTGCATTGACGAACTACGAAGACCTCCCAGTTCGACCCTCAAGAAAGAAGATAGACCAAGACCTTTGGGCGACGCGGTCTCCCTTCCGCAGTTTCCTCCTTTTGGGAGGATGAGCAGCCGGAAGCTCCGGAGGATGCTCCTGAAGATGCTCCGGAGGGGGTCGAGGACCATGGCGGAGCCGCAGGGGGGAAAGGTGGTGTGCTTGTGACTGTTGTGACCTGACGAAAGGTTTTTTGGACATGTTGCGAAGGTTAACGTTTTGTGGCTTTGAAGGTAGCGGCCGAAAAGGTGCGAATGCGACCATCGGCACGTTGCAGGAGGCAGCCGAACAAGCTCCAGCGGAAGGAGAGCAAGGCTGAGCTTTTGCAGTACAGACGCTGAAGAGATAAACACATTGACATGTCAAGCCACGGGGCCACAGTAGTGTTGTCCATTCAGAGTGTTATCTGTCAGTATTCAACTTTTCCAAAGCAGTTTCACCCTTGCCTTGCCCAAAGTGGAAGGGCCAAAGCGAAGGAATCCACAAGGAATCCTTTGTTTTTCAAGGCGCTTCCATGGCCTTTAGGGCCCTTCGGTGTTGAGGCGCGATCCTGTCACTGTGTCAACAGTGGACGGGACACAAATGAAAGAACGTTATGATATTGATTTCATGAATTTAATGATTGTTCTGTGACTATCTTGGAAACCTCCTCTTCGGTTGACGGCAGCTGCGAAAGTAGTGGTTCTTGCATTCCTTGCAGCCAATTTTGCGCCCAAGCTGCACACGCATCAAACTTGAAGAGAGGCCATAAAATTCAATCTCAGGAGAATTGGATTTTTGAAGTCCACAGAAAGACTCATGTCTAGCGAGTCTAGCCAAATTCATTGCATAATTGGCATATATCGGGCATTGATTTTGTGCTCCAAGACAAAGCAAAGTTACGATGCTCCAGTCTTTGCTACCCTCACAGGGACCAGCCTTGCATGCAATGAGTGCCTGTGATTTGTCTGAGGAGGTGGAGATTGTAACGGCTGATAACGGGCTTTGTGATGGTTTTGCATCAGTTTGACTCGATCGAATCAGACAAAAGGCGCCAGCGTCAAAGGCATTCTCAATCGGCCAGGAGCAGCGGCGGCGGGAAAGCCTTCGAGGCTTTTCTCAAGCAGTTTGGATTGGCGCACCGTTGAATGCCACTTGTAGCACGATTCCGTTGTTCCATGTTGCTTCGTAGATTCCCTGCAGGGCAAGAGCTCATTCTCCGTTTTCTGCAATCATCTTCTGCACCATGCCTCAGTCGAAGCCGTCCCTTGGACACGCACGGATTTTCGAAGCACCGGGACTGTCCAGCGAAGGCATAGACTCAAAGATGTCCAGCTAAGTGGGAATGGTCCAAAAAAAGACCAAGGGAGCATCATCATTTGAGCAACCGCCAAAACGTGCAATGACTAATTTAGTAAAGAGCGGTCGTGATTTTCAGGAATTGCGCTAAAACCTGCAAAAGCGATAGGCCCCCTCAAAAACATGTCCTCTACTTCACAGTACGTTTTGGCAGACGCTCATTTGATGAAAGTTGCTCGAATCTCTTTCAGGGAATACCTACGTATTGGTTTGGGCACGGCTTTAACTTTAGTCATCGATGCGACCCCCATACCTTTTTGCGAGGTAGTGATGCTCATTTGAGGTTTGCAAGAGCGGTGCCCAGGTGACATCCGGTGACTCTTGAAATGGCGACGCCATTTGGGAGACCTAGGAGACCTCCAAAATCCCAAAAGAGGACAAGTAGACGACAACTCACCCAGTGGGCGAGTGGGTGAGGAGCGGCCCAGAGGGCCAAAACCAGATCAGATCCACCAAACCAATCTGTTGGACAGACAGAAACCTAGGCTCCTGGCCTTACTACTAGGAGCAAGGACGTTACTAGAAGCGTCTTTGCTCCTAGTAGTAAGGCCAGGAGCCCCTAGTAGCGTCCTTGCTCCTAGTAGTCATGTTTGTCATTTTTAAGTCTTAACAAGCGGTGAACGCTGGTTGGACATTGACTTCAAAAACACATCCGAATTAAACACATGAGATTTCTCACACTTGCAGGTTCTGCATCGAATGTATCTTGGGCCACGCCATCAGTAGCCAGCAAGGTTTCAGGCGCGTAGGGAAGGTAAAACGATCTTGACATGAAACGCTTTTGCAGAACATTGTTGTTTGGGGTGGTCTTGAATTCATCACAAAATCTCACAATATTGTCTGGCCTGGCCAGTGGCCCTGTAGGTGCTTCTGCAATGTCCGGAAGCCAGGTTGGACTGTCAGGCAAGCAGACCGGGGCTGGGCAACTGTTTGCTTGCAGAAAGCAATGCTGTGTTTCTCAAGAGGAAATTGTCTTAGTCAGGCAGGAGGACATGTGCTGATTGCAGCCTCCGTCAGTTCTGCAGCTTTCTCAGGCATTCTGCAGCGTTCTGAGTCTGCTCCAACTGGACTTGAAGGCAATTGACGCGGCTCCACGTTGTAGGGATCGCAGTGAAACGTGCAAAGACAACTCTGGGGTGCTACAGTTACTGTGTTAGGGGGCCGTTTGCCATACACACTCATCCACTCAAGTCTTAACTGGAGGCAGTGCTCCCTTTGCTGATCTGAGTCCAAGCAGCCGTCACATTGGGATGGCGGAAAGGTGCGGGGCAGGGTGTTGCCACATCGAAAGCTTCCGTCTTGCTTTTCGCACGTACTTTTTGGGATCGTGTTTACTTTCTTCCCAGTTGAACATCAGATTAGTTCTGTATGCCAAACTAACACAATCTGCAGTACAACTATGCCAAACTAACTTCTATCATCGCCTCTCCTCATCGCCTTTCGACTCAGGCCAGGACCTGGCTATGACCTGACGAGCACAGGTCTGAAGGCCTTGCGTTTGCCGACGCAAGCGGCCGAAGCGCATGCCAGGGGGCCCGAGAAACGGGTATGTCGGGTGTCGAAAGGTGTGCGGACATTTCGGCTGGGCACTGTTTGAAGCTGTTTCTTTCTGGATTCTTTTGAGAAGCGTTGAGAAGCATGAAGATCGTTCGGTTGGGGAGCATGTTGTTCATTATTTTTTCCAGCATCAGGCATCAGCCAGTGTTCTCCTTTTCTTCTTCATGTCATATGCCAATATGCTTTGGACAAAGAGGTGGCGGAGTTTGCCCGCAGCTGTGCGCTGGCACGGTGCAGATCTGAGAAACAACAGAAACAAGATCCTACAAGTATTGAATCTACTGCTTTGATTCCTTTGCTCTATGCATTTGTGAATAGATTTTGATCAAAGGCAGTCACGCTTAATAGGACTCCGTCCCGTCTGACTCTTTGGTTGCCCTTGGCCTCTGCGCAATGCGTTCAAGCATGTGCCGGCTGTGTGTTGGACTACTCATTCTCTGTGCGGCAGCCTTGGAGTCGGACGTTGACCAGGCGCTCGGCTTGGATAACACTTGTGAAGACGGCACTGAAGCTTGCAGCTTGTCCATGCTGCATTTGCGTAGTCATGAGTCATCTGACGATATTAGAGAACCCCAGCATTGTGCTGCTGGAACTCAGTTCGACTGCATGGGTATGGGCACATGGACGGGTGAGAGGTGCTGCCTGCAGGGCCGCTACACATGCACTCCGGGCACACAGTTTGATTGCATGGGAAATGGCAAATGGACTGGCAAGGAGTGCTGCTTACAGGGTCAACACAGCTGTGCAGCTGGCACACAGTTCGATTGCATGGGAAACGGTGTATGGAGTGGCGAGACGTGTTGCTTACAAGGTCACTACAGGTGCACTGCTGGCACGCAGTTCGACTGCATGGGAAATGGCATATGGACTGGCAAGAAGTGCTGCTTAAAGTGAGTTTGACTTCATAAATTTGCAACATTTTATCAAATATGCAAAAATTGTACTTTTGCCTGTCAGACAGCGCTGTACACTCAGACAAGAGGGCTGAGAACGCGTAAAGAAATAGCTTTGACGTGGCGCGTGCTTTCGCGCGTGTTGGCGGCTTATTTGGGGCCAAAGCATGCCAACATTATATTGGAGTCTACACGATTCCAAGGCAGAACACTGCGCGCTTGCAGCGCCGTGCGCTGCCACAGCGATTGGAGCAGCTTGGACTTTTTGAGGGCATCAAGGTCAGAGTAGAAATGATGACTTTCCTCATTTCGACTGTTGGGCCCAAGACAAATCCACTGAAAATCCGAAATCGTTTGGCGATTCAAGAGGGAGCAGCTTTACATTGACAAGAAATGGAAGATGTGATATGCACTTTGCTGTGGACCTTCCCTGGGTGCACAAACTTGTCCAAGGCGCAGCCGCCGTGACAAAGAGTTGTTTGCCCTTTACAAACAAAGCCATGCAGGGAAATCTGCGGCGTCTTGGGCCCCAGGATGTCTCAGGACGTTCTTACTTTAGCAGTTGCTTGCAAGTCAGGCAGCAGAGCTGGGCAGAAAATTATTCCTCCATGTTGACTCAGGGCAAAGTCCATGTCCATCAAGACGTGCTTTCCATTCCAGGAGAGGTCCCAACCATCATGGAGAGTTAAACAAAGCTTAACGAGTGATTTTTTGAAGCATCATGCATCGTGCATTTATTTCCCGTGATAGAAGCAGAAAGGGATGTAAGGATCAAGACATCTGAACATACAATAAACTACAGACTGGATGCTTGGAAGATTGTACAAAGTACCAGATTAGTACAGACAGAACAGACCCTGCGAGATTTGCATCACATCAATGCGAACCCAAGAAATAACTTGGAAAGAAACATGTCACATCATGTCAAGAAAAGAAAGAGTAGAGGAACGGAGGCACAGAGCTGTGGTCCAAGAGCATTCAAAGCGGCAATGAATTTATGCGGGTCAACCTGCTCAGGAGCTCCTTTCAGCTCCACTGGCAGCCAAATACTATGCGTGCCTTGGAAGAGAGGACACCCGAGGGACATTCCAATCTTTTCAGCTGAAGCTCCACCGGGCTCCATTCAGCTCCTTTTTCAGCTCCATTCAGCTCCACATGCTACGAGCAGCGATGGCCTCCACCTAGAAGCTTCTAGTTACTAGAAAGCTTTAATTGTAACTAGTAGCGATGGCCTCCAACCTAGCATCTAATAGTATTATGGCCTCCACCGTGCGTGGCGTAGCTTCTTGCTACCAGCTTCTTCTCTAACTGGGCTCCAGTTGAAGCCTTGTGCGACTTGGCGACTCGGCGAGTCGAGGCTCCACCAGCGAGAGAAGACTCGGATCCTCCGAAGCGCTGAGCAGAGAAGCCGCTGAGCGGGCGGAGACTCCAGACATGGGCGTCCATCGGTTCACGTGGGCGTCCACTCGTCCGGTGGGGATCAAGCGACTGCAATGCCATCCATCTGAGGAACCCAAACGAAACCAATTAATTTGGGTGTGAACGACAATGGCCGTATTGCTATACTGTTCTCATCATTGTCATCTGTTGTCCTAGAGTTTTTTGACCCACAACCATACACCGATTACACTGCAACTAGGATCAACTAGGATCTCATTAGCGTTGTGCCACGTGAACCTCGATTGCATATCCCCCAAATTTAGCGGTTCCAACGCTTGTATTTTTGCACAAAGTTTGCCACCCTTCGCTCTCTGGTTGGAAATCCTCTCACCAGGAGCATTTCCT